TAAAAGTTATAATTTAATTTGCCTGTAATTACTAGATTTATTAATTGTCATTCCCCTTAATTATTACACAATACCAACATGGGCCATGTCTAGCAACATTTGTGATGACAATATTTGTAATAACGGCAAAAAATGTATAAAAAGTGTTGCTGCTATAATAAATAAATACTTATGGATTTAATAAGTTTCACTGATCCATGTTGCTGAATCAAACCTAGAGATAACTATGACTGTAGCATTTTCCTATACTGTAGGAATAAAGGTTAAATCATGTCAAGTTTAGTGTAGTTTCAGTACAATAAAATCAGGAATTATCTGTGAAATGTGTGATTGTTTTTGTTCAGGGAGTGACACAGAGGAGAAGTGCCGCAGCTTCATAGAGCTGACCCCAGGAGAGACACAAGGTTAGGTCACATGTTTACTTTGAAATGTTTTCAAAATTTTAAGTACAAAATTGTACTTCTCATTGTAGTTTTTGTAGTTGTTGAGTAAAGTTTTGGTTCCCCTTCCCACTGTATGTCTGTGACTAAAGCGTTATGTTGACAATATGAACTCAAACATCAAACATTTGTTTCTTGCTTTTCTTTCAGATATTATTCAATTTTTGCCATTTTTGTGTCTATCTCTTTATTAATATTCTGTACAATATGTATTATTTTGTCCCTCCAATTACATAAACATATTTAATAAAAAGTAATAATGTAATTCTAAGTCAGATGTTAGAAGAGCTCCTGTTACTGTGTGCAGGTGTGCTGTGGCTTTCAGTGTACAGTGAGTTCACGTACATCGGGCTTTTGGCCATGGGCTTCCTGCTCATGTGCATCGAGTGCATGTGTCTGTGCGCCAAACGAGAGATGAACGCGCTCAAGATCAACGCCTTCGCCGCCATGTGCACCGTGCTCTCAGGTACCACGCTCTGCTTGTGTGGTGCCTCTAGTCTTTATACTGTTAGACAGAGATTGGGTTTGGGGCTCAGTGGAAGCACAGACTTGTTTTAACTTCCTCTGTCCTCAGGGATGATGGGGATGGTGGCACACATGATGTACACCACAGTGTTTCAGATGACTGTGAGCATCGGCCCTAAAGACTGGAGACCTCAGTCCTGGGACTACGGCTGGTCTTTTGCGTGAGTTTGAGCTGTGGTTAAACATGTTCCACACACTTGTACCTGTAGTTCTGACCCTTGTATACGGTGTGTTTTCAGTATGGCCTGGCTCTCCTTCAGCTGCTGCATGGCTGCTGCTGTGGCCACTCTAAACTCTTACACAAAAACCATCATCGAGATGAAGCACAGAGCCAGAGTGCGCCTGGAGGAGGCCCGCACCGCCGCCCGCGCCCCGTCCTACGAGGAGGTGATCCGAGGAGGGGGAGGGCTGTACTCCGTCAGTCAGCTCATACAGCTGGCACAGCAGGGCATGCTGGTGGACCCCATGTGGCCGAGAGGAGAGGGGCCGGCCGTGGGACCCCTGGCCTGTGGAGCCGGAGGGGCTCTGCTGGTGGGTGGAGGGGGCATCGGGGTGGGCATGGGCGGACTGGGTATGGGCGGGGCAGGTCCCATGGGCGCCTCGGGCAGCATGGGCTCTGGGACAGTGGGGGGTCCCGGGGCCCGGCTGATGGACCCTCAGGGGATGATGATGCTGCAGGGCTGTGGCTCTGAGGGCTGTGAGGACTGTGAGCGAGAGATGGACGAGATGGACTACACCCTGCAGGAGGAGCGTGAGGGCTCCATCTGCTGAGAACACAGGGACCTGCGGGGAGGGGGGGCAGAGGGGCAAACTCATGCACCTGAGTACAGAGTACAGAGACACAGAAACGTCACAGCTCTGGGACAGAAACAGACTGTTTTTTTTTTTATTCTCACACAAGTGTCAGTCATTAAACTCCTGCAGCTGTTGAAAAAGAATTGTTTCTTGTTTATTCCACTGTTAGTACTTATAGTCACCCACTAAAGGCTGCCTATTTAATTCCTACTACAAACAAAATAATCTGCTGTTGTGTCCATTGGCAAGAGTATGTGTGTGGGACTGGTTACCATGTGTATCATTAATACTCTTAACATGAAGTACAGTAAAGAGCAAATAAAAACAATGACATTCAAATAATCATCAACAAACTCATTCATGATTTATACTGACCACAGATTATTTGAACTAACATGATGCTGATGGAATGACAGAAGTACCGCTGTGTGACTGCAGTTAGAGGAGTGAGACTAAAAGAATGGAGCCGCGCAGTAATCTTGTGCACAGATTTGAGTTGCAGACAGATGCTCGCTCCGCTGAAGATTACAGAATAATCTGGAGTCGGGGGAATGAGGAGAAACTGTGATTGACATCTCTGTACCACAGCAGATCAGGGGGTCGCTGCCGCTTCACTGCACTAATTAAAAATGTAAATTAAACACATAAATTATGCAACAATTTTATGCAATGTTTGAAGGTGCTGAGGTAAGCATTTTCTTTTGTTACAAAACCAGTGATAGGGATGGTTGAGGGATCGATTGAATAGTGACAATAACAATGTCAAAATATAACAGGAACATTTTGAAAAGGATAGTAGATCATCTGAAAGTATAGCATTTCTGGTGGAGTCTGTTCCGCTGTTTGCTTGTTGGAATGTTCCACAGTATGGCATTAAAATGTTCTAGTGACAACACCAGGCCATGTTGTGAGAGCTGTGGAGCTGTGAGGTGATTCCACTTAGAGTAACAATGCACTGTGTAATATGAATATCATCTCCATGGAAACAAGCAGGTGGACACCCTCTTACAGGAAAGTTGCATCGTGCATCTTTAATTCAAGTGCTGGTTATACAATGCACAAATGGTATTTTTTGTCAGTCAGTAACAATATTATGGCATCCTAAAAAAATCACTGCACAATATTTAACTGGTTCTTTTACCATCCAGACACTTTCTATTGTGTTTACGAACTAACAATAAGACTATACCAATCAGATTATAATCATGTCTAATCTTCTAGTTACATTATTATTTTAGCCCAAAATGTTTCTTTTTCTCTTCTTGGCAATTCTTAATCAGGACAGAAGTGGACGTCTGGACAAAAATTCATTATATTTAATTCTAACATTTCAAGAAATATGTTTTTTCACTTCCGCTGTTTTTTGTTTTTTTTTCAGATTGTAACATACTTCTTTCATTGTATTGTGTCCTTATCAAGATCAAGTTAGTAACAAATCCTCCCCCTGAAATCTTACATTTCAAAGTGCACACTGAATTCCAAATACTGTCACGTTAATTCTGGAACTGGGTTGTGCTAATTTATCTCTAGGTTAGATTTTGGTTCATTTAAATTCTTTTACAAAATAGAAAGCCAAATATAATCCATTGTGGCAGAGGTCTGAAAGGTTTAGGCCAGACATACAACTACTAAATGTAATTAATCTGAAACCAACCTTTCTTCAAAAACCTGCCCCATAATCTTGCTGTGGATAAAGTCATGGCCAACTGAGCTCTATGTGATTACATTTTGGATAAAAAGTCTGTGTTTTAAGCTCTGCCGTGTGGCAGCTTAACCTGCCCCAGACCACAGCTGGGTCACACACAGTGCAGGGCCAACTTTAAGACGACACACTGCAGACGAGACACTGCAGGCAAAACTTTATTTTGTTTTTTGGTCTTCCAGGGTGTGTGTCTGTGTGTGAGACTCTTGATTTTGGTTTATGTTTTGTTTAAATACCCCAGAAATGATATATTTTGTTTTTACAGTTTTTAAAATGCCTTATTTTATGATGAAAAACTTGTAGGGCATGTTTTTCTTATTTGATATCTTGAAATGTAAGATTTTTTTTCCTATTCGCTTGTAGACAGAATAAATGATTGTGCACCACTACATTTGCTACTATAAAAGGATAAATTATTAGGTGCACTATGTAACGTTTCTGGTGGAGGGTCTGCTACTTACTTGGATGTTGCCTTGCCTGAAAAGTTTCAGAGTATGGGATTTTCTAAAAAAAATAAATTAAATTTTAATTTATAATTTAATTTAAAAATAAATTAAGGCAAATCTGTCATCTGTTTTTCAAGTTTTTCTTTCTTTTTTTTATATATATATTTAAATACACTAGTTGGCATAACTGAAATGCAGATTAGATTAGTTTAAAGCCATACAGTGGAACATTCAGGTAAAGCAATAACATCTCCACACACTTCTCATGTTGTCTGGGAGCTTTACACTCAGCATTATATATCATCATATCACGTCATATATTCACTCTTCCTTCTCTGTTCATGTCCAGACCATCTCAGGTGTCTTACTTTAAATCCAAAACAACATTTTATCTGTATATAGCAGACTAAATAAATGACACCTTACATCTTTTATTGAAGATTGGCCAACAGTACACTCTACAAGCCATGCTATTCACAGTTCCATAAAGTCAAATGTCTGAACCTCATACAAAATCATACACATGAATTAATCCTAGAGAAAGATGTGTGGATAAAACCCGACCAAGATGCCCCTACCCCACCCCAAAAAAAAAAAATAATAATTTACTATAATGAGTCAAGGTTAGCATCAAACTGAACACCTAACTGAATATATAGTTTTGACCCAATTTGTTATAGCCTTTTTACTATGTACAGCTGCTGTAAACAAACAAAATAATACTACAATGATTTCCACTGTAACTGCTTAGTGCTGAAGAATGACACCACTTCTTTCACATACAAAGGGTTTGGGCATTATATTATGAATGAATGACCAGAATATAACCACATACACCCCATTATATAAAAAGAATGGTTCACTGTTAAAATGTAAAGGAAAACATAATAAGAACACTGTCATAACACTGTAATTGCCCAGTATTTGCATTATATTTAGAATGTCATTCGACTGTAATTACTCTCTTTTTAAACTCTTTTGCTCCAATGACAAGGTTGATTCAGTGGTACTCCTGATATCTTAAATCACATACAGAGAATTGGTTTGATTCACTTTTGAAAAAGAGGTTTGTGTAGATTTATGATGTTGTGTTTATTTCATCTTCTGGTACTGAATCAGGCGCAGAGCTTCATCGTCATTCATAACTCCCTGAATGAACTCTCCCTCTGCCACTCGCCCTGCACAAAACAACAACAGAGGAGGAAAACAATTAAACACTTTATATTTGTATTAAAAGTACATGTTTATAGAAAAGACATTGTATATGCACGTCCCATGCCTCTTGTGAAAGCTCAGAACGTTCCATCCCTGAGCTGCAGAGGCTGCACTAGCACTGACTCATGATGGCTGCAGGTGCTGGGGTTTAGGTAATGTCCATTCAGATCACAGAGAGGCATTTTAGTTTTAAACTAAACTGATTTCAGCACTGAAGTTGACTCTTTTTAACTGGACAAACTTTTTGAGAACCAAAACACCAATAATAACAACAACTTAACCATCATCAAAACCTTACAGTTCCTTTAATAAGTGCAGGACACTCACCTTCATCTGGTTTGTTAAAGATCTTCCACAGTTTGTCGGCTCTCTTGTCTGGTGTGTTCTCATCTTCAGGCAAAGAGTCCACCTCCTCTTTTGGGATCATTTTGAAAATGGCCTGAAATATAAAGACATGTATTACATTTCACATTATATGTGTGCTCTGGTGGTATGCAAATGAGGATTTGACAATGCTGTAAATTCATTTCAACTCTCAAGTACTCAAAATAAAATAAACACATTCTACAATTGAAGATGTCATAATTTAGATGGAGGGCAGGGACCTATATCTGAAAGAAATACACAAACTTCTGATCCACAGAATAGTTGAACCATATCATTACTTGTTAGGGATTGGGTCCACAGTCCGTCAATATTAATCTCCAGGCTTAAAGATAGCGGACAGCAATCACATCTTTGGGGCTGAATAATGGCAGTGTTTGGAAGCAATAGTGACAAAATAATTTAACTTGTGTTTATTCATGCTGACAGAGAACACACTGAGTTTGGTGCCAGTTGTCGTTTGATGTGGATAGGCCCTGTAATTACAGAGATACTGACCATAAACCAGTCCTTACTCTTACAGTACACTATAGGCATGTTCAGATGTTTTTTCTGAATCGTGCAATTTTTCCTGCTCTGAGCTGCAGCTTTACTCACACAGACTTCTGATTATATCACATTAATCTTTATCCTCAAATGTGGATCTATAAGTAAAGCCCAGACTGGGACAGCGTTGCTGCAGGTACACTCATCTCCACTGTATTATGAAACAAGTGATCACAACGTCATGCTATAGACACGTCAAGCATTACTGTGTGTTACATGAGATCAGATGGCTCAGGTGATGTAATCCTGCTCCTGCCTGCTCCACTTTAAACCACTAGGTGGAGCTTTTGGATTTCATGTTCTACAAATGTAAAAAATCCTGCAGTGTTTAGTTTAACAAGACATTTTTATGTAGTTTTGGTGTTTCTAGAATGATTTTTAGTTTTTGTTAAATCATTCTTTTTAGTTTTAGTCTAGTTTTAGTTGACAAAGTCGATCATAAAAATTTAGTCAGCCACTAAATATATATTTGATCAAACTCCTAAACAGGACCATGAACGCTCATATTGATCACAGGCTCCTCAAAATGTGTTATCATACCAGCTTAAAACTTTTTTTTGGCTGTGTTTGCTAATGTGTGCATTGTATCACCATAGTAAGTGCTGAACATTCCACCATAGAGATACATGTTCACATAATACACCCCCAGCATGATGTTACTGCAAAATGTCACCTCTCCACAGTTCGGACCTGTAACATGGTCTGGGCTGGGGGTGTTTGATTACACACTATGGGACATTCCAGGCAAAGCAATAACATCTCCATGGAGACGCAGGTGGAGGGTGATTCTCCAGAAAATTTACACAGTACATAAAGCCTAAGTGTAAACCCAATTTGAGAAAAAAAATGTATTCCAATTTTTGTCTCTAAGCTCAGTGTCCACTCACCACACAGATCTCCTTGACTTCATTCTTGGTGATGTATCCGTTCTTGTCCACGTCGAACAGGGAGAAGGCCCACTCCAGTTTGCGGTTGGTCTTTCCGGTGGAGGTCATGTGGAGAGCGATGATGTACTCTCTGAAGTCCAGAGTCCCATCATCGTTCTCATCGAATGAGCGGAACACATGCTGGGCGTAGGTATTCGCGTCGCTCTCTGGGAAGAACTTGGTGTAAATGGCCTGGAAGTCCGATTTGGATATGCGGCCAGACGGACACTGCTTCTGGAAGTTCTCGTACCACTGAACAATCTCCGTCTCAGAGAATTTGGTGTTGAGTTTGAGGTCTTCGAGGATTTCTTTGGACACGGCGCCGCTCTTGGTGTTGCCCATGGTTACAGCAGGAAGCACCAAGGCTGACTTAGTTCAGGATTTCAGAGCGTTTCACCACTTTTCGTCAATGAAGGTTTAACTCAATATATAAAAAAAAAATGCTGGAAAAAAATGTAAAGCATCTGGTTAATAAAGCAATGCAAACTTTATAACTTGCAAAACTAGACTTTTATGTTGAAAGCAGATTTTTGAACGAACCCTTTACACTTCCGGTTTATTTTTCCTAAAATGAGCCCCAGTTCAAACAGAATCTGTTTCTGAACCCTTTGCAGCACACACAAAGGGCTGGACTCTTTGTGAAGCTGAGGCTCTGTAGTTTTGGTCTCTGTCTGATCTACTGATCTCCTCATAAGTGAGAACAAGCCGCACTGAAGAAAAAATCCAAATCCCGACTGTTTTTTGGTAAACATAAAATAAAGTATAACTGGTGAAAAATAAATTAATTAAAAGTACAAGGGCCTAAGCATAACCCCTCTGACTTTTAATAGAAAAGTTACAAGCAATTGTTGATTAGAAATGATAGAGTTTCTTTCACTGACCTTAGTCCAACTCATTATGTGTTTTACTTCAAGAGTGCCTCATTCTCACTGCATGGGTTTATTTTACATCATAGCTCAACAAACGTGGGGACTGAACATTTGCATGCAGTTGCATTAAGTACCTTTTGGTGGAGGGACCACCACCTGCTTGTCTCCATGGAGATGGAATTGCTTTGGTAATATATGTCATATCTGTGGAGAGGCGATCCAGCTCACAGTGAGAATATATGTATTATGTATTAAATAAATGCATAAAAGTTTATTTTGTTGCCATACTGTGGAACATTCCAGGCAAAGGAATAGGATCTCCATGGAGACAAGCAGGAAGCAGATGGCTAACTCTACATCTTTTTTTAACCAGAACAAATACTCAGTTACTAAACTTGTTAAGATGTAAACAGAGTAAAATAAGAGTATGCAGTGAGGAGGAGACTCTCTCCCACTTAAACACTTAATGAGTTGACCTGAGGCCATCAGATTAAGTTTGGTCCTGACTCCTGAGCTTTGGAGTCTAGACTGCACTTTCCTAAGTGAAGAGTACTCACCACTATAAATACATGTAAGGTAAATAAATACAAAGTGTATTTCAGAATCACAAAACTTAAATTTGAAATGTATTTAAATACTGTAATTAAGTAAACATGTGCATTTTTCGTATATTCATTTAAAATACAGGCAAAAATTATGTCAACATTGCATAAAATCAGTAGCTCCTATAATGTAGCTCTTTGGGATAGTAAAAATAAACCTTTTTTAACCTAATGCAGTGATTCTTAAACATTTCACACAAAGTAAGATATACCATCTGAGATGTACCACCAGATCAAAATCTGGACTAGATCAGGTTTAAATCAGAAACAAAAAGTGTCCAAAACTGTGAATACATCAAGTGGATGAGATTAAACCAGGGATAAAGTAGTTATGAACAATTATTGACCCAAATGAGGACAAAAATTGGAATATAAAAAATAGTCAAACTGCAGAGAACCCAGTATACCACCAGAAGAAGACTGAATGTCACCAGTGGTAAATGTCCCACAGTTTGAGAAACTCTGCTGTAAAGTATTGTAATGTATTCTTACAATATCAGCATTAGTCATATTTATAATTAACATAAACATAGAAGATAGAGTGTGTATGTTACCTGTCTGGTCCAGGTGAAGCTCTGCAGTCGTCTGGCTCTGAGGACACCTGAACGCATAAATCCATTAAACCAGATCACACCAGGGCGAAGGGGGAGGAGCCACAGCATGGCCCACCTTTATCCCCTGACTCTAACTCTATAGATATATTTAAAGGTCTTATACTACGCAAAATTGACTCATGTAATCTTTAAGCCACTGAAATAATGCTATTACCTCATCAAAAACATGCCTGGAGTTGTGTTTTGTTTCGTTCACACGTTTCAGTAATCCTGGATTATTAGTCTGCCTACATTTCCAAAGATCAAAATGCTCTGTTCCACCTTTTGATGTCATGAAGTGGTAGTTTTCAAGTTAACAGCTACTTTTACCTCTAGTTGAAAAGAGATTGTCAATTCCAGATCTGAAATCATCCAAATGATTCTAGTGAAGGTGTGTGGAGTTAAAAACACATTGGGGCACTTCCTGTATCCCCACATGACATCACAAGGTGGAAGGAGTGTTTTCTGTTTGAGAGAAGAACTCAGCCTAAATATGGGGGGTTTGTGTGTTAAACATTTGTGAATGAAACAAAACACAACTCTGGGTACATTTTTGATGAAGAAACAACATTATACAACATAGATAAAAAAATAAATAAAATAAAAATCATATGATATGGGCTCTTTAAGGACTACAAGTTAAGTTTAGGCTATACCATCAACCTGTCTATGACCTTTGAACTCATCAAAACCAAAATAGTGCAATTAGTTTGATCAAGACACGAACATCTGCAGTGAAGTGAACTACTGGTGTTTTACAATGGCTACACTGAAGTTGTGTAGTAGCAATTGTGCTATAATATACAGAATATGCAATAGAATATGTAAAGCCTACACTGCAAAAAGTCATTTGTAGGTAAGTTAAACTCACTTGAATACAGTGATGTAATGTAATGTAAAATAATACATTTATTGTGAGTAAATTTGATTTCATAGTACAGTAACTAAAATTATCTACCATTTGTACCTCATGGTAGAAAATATGGCAGCACTTTACACTTGAACTGAGTAGATCTGATTTGTCAAGTATATTATTTTCTCATTTTAAGATCATGTTTTCTTCATTCAAGAAATTTGAACTACCTACCATAGACCAGACATGTCAAACTCAGGCCCAGGGGCCAAATTTGGCTTACGAGATCATATCAAATATGTATTAGAGCTGGCCCGCCGGCTATAGAGACATTATAAATAATTATAAATTTTGTTATGATTTTATATTTTGCTTGTTCTGGATTCAATGTTTAAGCAAAACTATAATTAACCATTTATTTTAATAAGAAAAGGTTTGACATTACATATCTCAAAAGAAAAGAAAACATGCAGATGTTGTTGACATTTTTCAATAAATATTTAGTTTGGCCCACGACTTAGTCCCAGTTTTTAATTTTGGCCCTCTATGAATTTGAGTTTGACACCCCTAACCTAGACTTTATTTTTTATAAGGTAACAGTTACCACAAAGCCTGACTGTAGCTTTACCGAACTGAACTGAAAAGTGAGTTTATGAACCAAATGAACCCATCTTGTTTGTATGTGTGTTCTTCCCTGAGCCTTCCTGACACCTGTCTGTGACTCCTGCTGCTCGGATCAACTCTGACTCCACACATTAATGAGATTAGAGCAGTTTGATCTGATGCTAAAATAACCCGATAAGCATGTACTAGTACTAGTATAAAGCACCAGAATCTGTCTGACGTCACTGTTCTCAGCACCAACCTATTATCCTACACACAATACATACAAGTGAATATTCCTACTGTGGCTACAATATCTCAGTGACAACAACTCTACAAAAATGTATATCCCAATAATATCCATAGTGTAGTGTTTTCTGTCCAAAAACTACAAATTCAGCTAAATGTTTTTATTATTTGTTTGAGTGTGTTTCTTTCCTGACCTGGTTTGCTCCTGGGACAGACCTGCTTCAGACCAGTCTTGACTTTGTGCAGCTCCATCTCTCCAGCACCCATGGGTGATATGGGCTCTGCCATCTGCTGCTGCCGCCTGTCACCCCAGCATCCACTCTGTGCGTGTTTAGATTTCATTACGTAACTTATTTTTGTAAAAGGTAATGGGTGCATATTTATTGTCAGAAAATGTGAGTGAAGTTAATGATTCCAAATATACAGGGCTGAATCTAAATGTTTTCTGTGACTGTAAAGCTAACAACAAACAGCATGCCAATAGTGCACTTCAGGATTCTCGTACAATAAAACACTTTACACTTAGATGCAGATCTTTGACCTTAAGAGCTGCTTCTAAAATGTATCTGTATTGTTGATAAGACATATTAAATGTCCATTATGTAGCTTTTCAAATACTTTTCTCTATGGAAATGTTATGGTATTAAACTTTTCTATAGTCATGCAGACGAAAGCAGATCTGTGGAGAGGCAACCAGGCAACCCCAGTCACAATGAGAAAGCCTTTTGTCTAGACTCTAGGTAGTTTTGAGCTATAAAACCACCTATAACTGAATAAACTGTAGAGGTGTTTAATGTCATACTGTGGAACATCCCAGGCAGAGCAATGACATCTCCAGAAAAGTTACACGATGCACAGTGCAAGATTTTTGACCAGTGACTAAATAACAAAATTTAGTTCAGGTACTGAATTGCCAGAGCCCCCTTCATTAACCCGAGTTCTGTTTTGGTCCTGTTAATCAGAAGGAAGGAACATTAAAAGCAGGATTAGGAGCTAAAGTGGTGGAGATGTTGGGGATCTGAGGTGGAGCGGTGTCGGGGATGGGAAGGATTTGGCAGTCTGACAAAACCAAAGTCCAAAACACCACAGGGACGTGCTCAGAGACAGGTCTGTCCAGGACTAAAATGGAACTTTAATCTGTCATTGTCACGCACACTGTACCGGTGAATATGCCTAAGGAATCGAATCAATTTTCACAATTAATAATACATTTTTTAATTGGTATGTTTTTAAATTTTGGAAGACGGCTTGGCTGGCTGGATACTTCTCATGGGTACCTTATAGCACTTATGATGAGCACAAACTTGGTGAAAGTGTGTGGGCATAAAGCAAACAAAACAAAACAAAAGAGAAGAGCCTACGTGGCAAACTAAATACTCACCTAATGATGTCACAAGGTGGAACCAAGCATTTTGAGCTATGAAGGGGGAGACAGCCAGAATCAAGAATTACTCAAAACTTTAGGCCTGGGTGAGATGACAAAAATATGAATCACTTTTTTTTTTTTTTTTTGATTCATCACTGACAATTTCATTCATTTTTACTTTTACTCTAAAACTAAACAAACAATGTTTTCTCTAATTTCCTGAACTGAAAAGTGATTTCCTCCAAAGTCTAAATTCTGCTCCAAATGACTGTAAACCTCTCCATTACAAAACAAAGAAAGCACATATACAAATTAAAGAATCTTGATTAAAATTAATTCATTGCACAGCCCTAACAAACTATTAATAAAATGAAAGACAACACTAAGTTCTGATCTTGAAGAAGGAACATTTAGAACTGCATGGCACCTGTGATGTTTGGTAAGGTTCCAAACTACAGCCTTGAATTTAATGCACTTTAAGTTGTGGATGGTGTAATCCAATTAGTGTTTGTTGAGCCACTGTCTGCTGGTGCTAAAACCGTCTTCACATTTACTGTATAATGATCTTAGGTTACAGCAATACATCACGAGGAGCCAGGAAACATAACAACTACATTCAGTAAAAACTAGTAATATTAACTTGATCAGTGCACAAATATGACAAAATGAGGACTAAAATTTGAAAAGCTCTGAGGGGTGTTGCCATGGATCTATAAAAAACAATGTTAGTGTTGAGTAGTCAGCATTTATCCGAGGTGCTTTAGACCTGGTTTACTCCTGGGTGAGTCCTGACCTGATCTGATTCTGGTCTGTAGCACTTTATTTTATTTTATTTTTTTACCATTTATATGTTTTACTAGTAATTCTATATGCCTCTTAATGCCTTCTCTGTAGGGCTGAGTGATATGACAAAAAGCCGATCACTTTTTTTTCCCCTCATATTGACTGACAAATTTCAATTATATTTCATTTTGTCTTATTAAAAGCAAACGAAATTGTCTTTCAGTATGACTTTCCTGAACATAAAAATACTTTGACTTTGAATCATTAGAATTTAACACCAAAATATTAAGTATAAGTGTGAATTCTCAAACCACATGGCTTTGACTGTGAACCTCTAGATTAAAAAGAAACAAGCGTATCATTAGTTATTATAGGTGACTTAATCTAGGTCAAAAAGCAATTAAACTTGTGAATGAGAAAGTATTGATATGTAAATAGCCAGATTGTTGTTTTTTATATTACGTTTAGGTTGACTTTGAGTAAAAATTGAATATAAAGAACTTCTAAAATTCTCATTTGTTATGTTCTTATGATAAAATGATTATACTGTGGCCTGAATAATCTGTATTATAAATGAACCAATTTATATCGACAAAAGCCCAATTAATAAATTTGTACTTCCATCCGTACTATACTGTGCAATTTCATAGTGATGAAGAATTGAAAAAAATGGTGTAGAGGCCAAATTGAGCTATTACCAGAAGAGGGCAATGTTGTGAAGCTAAAGGAGCAGGTTACTATAATCCACCACAATTAATCCTGGGGTTAAAGGTCATGTTTAAAGTCTGTGGAAATAAAAGGTCAAATGTGAGTGGGATTAAAATCAGAGCCAGGAGTCTCCTTTGAGGGAATCTCCCTTGAGGTCATTTCCTGTTTACTGTTCACTGTTGGACTGGACAATGGAGTTAAGTTCAACTGTTACATTACACAATGCTAGAAGTAGTAGTAGCAGTAATAATAGTAGAAATCGTAGTAATATGACATACATGATATAGTACATTTTGGTGAGTATACATTAGATGTTTTATTTTCCTTATGTGTCCAAATAAGAAATATTTATCTTATACAAACCTGTGCAGATATAAAATGTGAGCTATTTGTAATAAAAAAAATGACAGTGCAAAGAAGTTATTTTAATTATCATTCATTAAAGGCACAGTTTAGTTCATTTTCAATTGAAATGTATAAAGTAACACATTAAAACAAAGCACAAATCATACAAAAACACTAACAAAGTTTAAAAACAGAAATGTTGGTTCTACTCCTAACAGTCCATGTGGTTCACAATCTGTGGCTCTAGTCCCACTCATAGTACACAAGCATTCAGTTTAGTTTATTTTAGAACTTGGTTTATTTTAAGACTGCTTTGAGAATAAAATTAGAGAACAGACCAATAGGCAGCTACTTACTTAGGGTATTACGGTCAATGTGTTGCCTTGTTTTAGATCTATTTTGGTTCAGTAATTACAGATTAGCCGCAATTACTAAATATAGTCATGACCTTGGCCAGTATACAGCAGTTCTTGCTTAAAGGTTCACTATGTAACTTTTCTGGTGGGGTTCCACCACTTGTTTGTCTCCATGCAGCCGTCATTGATTTGACTTGTAAGGATTTTAGGTTATATATGTAGCAATTATTTAATTAGAGCTAATTTATTAGTAGGGGTGTAACAATATCCAAGTCTCACAATACGATATCGTCACGGTATAAACCTCGCGGTACGATATTTATTGCGATATTGTGGGGAAGATCATGATATGGTGGGGAGGCTCACGATAACAATACCTAAAATCTTTCAGTATGAATATTTCATGATATACATCTCACGGTACAATATCTATTTCAATATTTTATGGAGGTTAACAAAACTGTTAATATGCTACTTTTTCCTCTTAAAATACCTTGACAAGACTTAATCCAAAGAACCAAGACTTAAAAGTCCTTAGAACTGTTATTTCCATTATCTATTATAGTCTACACTGAAATGGAGCAAAGGATCATGGTCTATGTAGTTCTCTCTGTCTTTTTGTAGCTATTGCTGCATCATAACTCTTAATTTAAGCAAAGAGGCTTGTAATTCGATATATTGTGATGGTCTACGATATTATTGCGAGAATTTTGACGATACAATACCACGATATTTCGGTTATTGTTACATCCCTATTAATTATTCAAAATAATCTCCATGGGCATAGATGAGGTTAATGTCATACTATGGAACTATAAAGCTACAACAACTTGAACCAGATATTTTGTGTTCTTAATAAAAATCTAACTGGATTGATTGAACTGAACCTCATTATTTCCATAGAGAAAATTAGGTGACAGACACTGCGCCAGAAATTGAATTTAGTTCTCATTCTTTTATAATAATAGTCCTGATAGAACCATATTTTAGTTTCAATTGAATCCTGGGTTTAATCAAGTTTAGTCACACATTAGACCTTGACCTGGCTTTGTGACTGTCCTATATTTACCTTTGAAATCCACATTATTTAGAAACTGTACGTGGTGTGAAAATAGTAAGGACCTCTGTAATACTGTGTCCAGCAGGTGGGATGCTCCATGTTGCTCAGTGCTGCCACCCTTGGTTTAGTGGTGGGTCCGGTAGCTGCGGATCTTGCGGCTGAGGTTTCGGGCCAAACGATCGACAGCGCTGCCGATGTGACCCAGCTCCTTCTTTGAACTCAGACCCTCGATGTTCCCACTGTACCACAGCACCCAGCCCGCCAGAGACGTCACGACAAACAGGGCACCTTTAAATGCAGGGGGGAATCACTGTAGACAGGCGTGACAAAAGCTCTCAAAACTATTAAATATCTCTATAATCTGACCATATATCTGACCAAAACTGCCCTCACAAGACAACAACTACACAGGGAGTTCATGCAAAAGCCACTGCACTTCCGCAAACAGAAGTACTACAACTGTGCATTTATATGAAAAACTGCAGCTTTAACTCGAGATTCACTTCCAAATCTTCAGCTAACTAAACACGAGTTGATAGTAAACTGACTTTGACTAAAGCTCTGTTTAATAGAATATAATATCTTTAATTAAAAAAGTTTACTTCATTCACAGCAACTAACTTCATGTTCGCTTTTACAAAATCAATAAATCTGCTTTTTACTTTTTCCTCTAGGTCTTTACTTTTCCTCCAGCTCTAACCTCAGCATCCTTCTACCCACATATTTACTTTCTCTCCTCTGTACCATATATTTACTGTGAATATATCTCAATTTGGACGACTCTGATATGCATAAAACCTTTGTAATGGACTAATCCTAATTTCCTCGTCATGAACAAATGCAATTACTGGTATAGTTCAATCAACATATGGAATTAAATTAGCATTTTTACTATTTTATCAGACACTTTATGAACATGATCTTACCAGTGTACACTAAAAGGTCTCCAAAGTCCCTCCCTTGGATTTCTAGAGGTGCAAAGACCCCGATCAGCAGAGCAGATCCTCCCAGTAAGTCCATGATCACAGCGAAGACCAGGGCTATCTTACAGTGGGACAGACCTCCACACATGTTGCACCTGGAGGAGACAACAGCTATGACATTCAGGATTGAGAAGTAGTCAACTAAAGAAATTCTAGATCAGCTAAAGACATGCTCCGTGTATCGATTCATTGACTAAGAAGTGGGGTGTGGCAAGGTGCTGGCAAAAGATGTTCAATTATTAGGATTTTGTACAGAAAAATACTTTGTAAAGAGAGAAGTAGGAGTAAACAGCATGTTGTTTATTAGAGAAAAGTCAGAATAAATGTTCAGTCATACCCAAAACTCCAGCTACACTCACTCCATGCTGCTATTTTGGTTGTAAATCCTTTTCATTTTAATGAATTAATTAGTCAACAATAAAGATTTTGGTCAACTAAGACATTGCCAAGTGAGGAATCAAATTATGGACTAAAGTTTAGAAAGTTTTAAGGTGGTTTTGATCCATATCACTGTATTTACGGTCCTCCATGTTCATAGGGGCATAGGCACGGGTCCTTGTTTTCCACAGAAGTTATATCATGTTAAAATATAGGCCTAGATTATAGTTTCATTACATTTAAAGTGCAACTATAAACTTTGGGTAGGTTATGGTTTAGGACTAGGTATTGGGAAAACTAAAACTTACATTGAAAAGTATAAAAAAGCACAATGTATCTGCTCGTGCGTCAGTATAACGTAACATTTAAACATACTGGTTTGGCTTTAGTTATTAACTAGTTAGTAAACTATTAACTAAATTGCAAATGAAGTAGGCGATGATATTGTTTCTAAGCTTATTTTTGTGACATTGCTGTTTTATGGGCAGGCTGTCGAGCGCACCCCAACCCCCAAGCATCTCCAAACTTTTTATCGTCCCTTAAAACAAACTTGCAGCGTGGATTATTGATCTTTGCGGTATTTTTTTGACTCACTTGTTTGCGTTGCTAAATCGTCCTCGGAAAACTCTTCATCGACTTTCCTCAAGAGTCTGAAGCGACAAACCGAGGTGCAGAGGTTTTTCTAAAAGTTTACCTTCTTCGTGCCCTCTACCTGCGCCCCGCCCGGTCTTCTCTGACGTACTTCCGCTCTGAGCCCCCCGGGTTCAAGCGTCTCAAAGCTAAACGTGAGAGCAGTGAAATCTGAACGAACGGTGCACACCACACAGACAGACACGAGCCGCTGTAGAGGCACAAACTAACAGACAGTGGACTTCTTTGGCGCACGCCCTCATCACCTGCGCAGTTCTCTTTTGCGCATGTGTGAGCGAACACCTGTGCGCCACTTATAATCAAGTAATTGCCGCGGATAGCGTTTGAACAGAGCGGCGTGCGTGTGTGCCAGCCTGTATTACAGAAGTATAAGTGAACACAACAGAACTGGAGACTTAATAACGCGCTAAAACGGTATAATTACGCAAATATGGATCCTCGGAGCAGCAGAGAGGACCCGAGCCCGTCAGGTAATCTCCCTGGGTAATTCCACAGTAACCCAAAGGCGTGCGCTACAAAAGTGTGTCAAACCGTTTATTTCACTTACCGCTTATTTCTTTTGCCCAACATTTTGTCCCTTTGTAAAACATGTTTAACTAGTAAGAAGTCTGCTGTTCTTCCCATGAATAGCCTGTATAATAATGCAAATGTAGGCTAAATAGACTTGTGCCCGAGTTTGCCCGAGTTTCTTGAGGCTAACTGGGGGTTCAGTCAATGTGTTTTATCAGCCAGTCCTATATTATATAATACAATCTAATGTACTGGATCCTTCTGAAAAAAAAGTCCTGCTTTTACTTACTGCGACCAATGTACAAGCATGTAGACTATCTTCAAACTTGTGATGTGCTTTTAGTATTTTCATTAAATTATGCACAGCCTTCAATAACTACATAACTATTATACATTAATAGGCTTATTGTGTGTGAGTTTTTTCTCTCGTGCACATAACTATTTAACCTTAATTCAGAACATACATGTCTAGTCAGTGGTTTAAGTTTCCATAAGCATCCCCTCAAAATGCAGATTTATTAATACTGTTGTCTCTATGTATTGTGTTTTTCCCTGTTCCAGATCACTATGTGGTTTCAGGGGCCTCAGAGGAGCCCCCAGTCAGAGAGGGAGGAGGTGGTGGCTCGGGAGGGGGAGGTCTGTACCTGGACGCCTACGAAGTGTCCTTCCCTTTGGATGAAAGTGTGGAGCGACCTCATGCCTATCATGTCAACCACGGTCCAAGAATGGTCGACGGTATGAGCCATTCTAATACTACAACCGACATATCTCAGAAATAGAAACATGCAAACATACTCTACAAGTATAGGCACCGTTTGTGAGCAACTTTTCCTTGTAACGCTTCTCTTATGAGTTCATATTAATTAATCCCAATTACTCAATTACACAATAGTTGTAACTGAATTAGTGCAATAATCATAATTGTAATTGAAATTCCATTTATTGCACTGCCCTACTACAAGTATTATTACCGCTACTACTATAAGTATACTACATATTATTGTTTGCTCAATATGTAGATAGGTCAGTGTATTGATACTGCAGTAGAAAGGACAATATATCACTCTATCATGTTGATAATGATAATGCATATTAAAAACAATGCATAAATATGCATGATGTATAACATCAATAGTGATTGTACATTTTACATTCACTTTTTCCATAGACATCAGCGAAATTCTTTAATAACTTAAAGGTTGTATAGAGGATTTTTTAAGGAAAAAGAAATACAGCGATAGTCCAAATGTTGTGCATGCGTGACACCACCTTCCTCCTCCACAGCTCCCTCAGTAGAAACACCTCCTCCCGCCTCCTTACTCTAGAAATCACGCTTGTTTACAGCCGTGCGCATTCAGAATTACTGTTGGAGTGACCTGTCTGGAAATAATTTAGCAACCGACATGTCAGTTTTTAGACCCTTTGTCTGATTCATTCGGGCAATCGCTGGAAGGAATCTCCAAGAATCACCTCAGTTTGGCTTTGCTCATTTTCCCCTTCTCTTCTTCTTTCAGTGACCTCAAAAAGTTATTTTCTTTTGCGGCAAACTGGTCGTGGATTCTCGTCCGCCATCGCAACAAACTTTGTGCGAAATGTGAGGAAGCTACAGTTTTAAAAAGCCTCTAAGAACTGCTGCATAAACCACGTAATCCCCACGCACTGGCGAGTCAGTTACACTAGAAATGTAGGGAGTTTGATTGACGATCTAACAGCCAATAGATAATGAGGGAACCTCCTTTTCTATTGGCTGATTTTTATCTGACCTCACTACGTCCACAGTTGATACATTTTCATTCTTTTTTTTTTTTTTGGTCATCATAATTACAAGGCTACTGCATCTCTGTAATGGTATTTTAAACTTTCACTGACAATTTGAAACAAACAAAAAAATCCTCCATACAACCTTTTAATGGTTAATAAAGTTACTGAAACAGATTTTAAATAAAATTATAGGTTTTGTGGTCATTAGTTACCACATAGATGATTAGCCCTGAACTAACAAAAGTTTAATGTATTTTTTTTAATCGTCTATTATTAAGTCTATAAGAAAAAGACAAATTTACTTCTGAATCCAGGGGTGGGCACTCACTCTTAAGCTCCATTCATTTTCCGTGCATAATGTATTCGCTAAGTTGTTTAAAGGTGACACAGGTGAAGCCAAATGTTGAGATCATTCTTGCTGTGATGTTTGCTAACTCTATTTTTTGTTGCAGAGGGAGTGGTCCAGGAGCCCCCTCCCTCCCCCTACAGCCCGTTCATCCTGGTGTCAAACCTGCGCGCTCACCTGTACGTGGCTCTGGAGAAGAACGCCTGGCTCCAGAAACGCATCGAGGAGCTGGAGGAGGAGAGGAACTTTCTCCGCTGTCAGCTTGACCGCTTCATCGTCAACATGAGGACTCAGGACGGTAATGTTATACAGAACCTGCTCTAGTTAGTAAAGGCAGTAATAATAAGGTTATATGGTTAGAGGTTAGAGATCTATTGAAAATGTGATAATATTGTAAATTTTAGTTTTGGAGAAAATATTGATATTAAATTATTAATTAATATTTCAAAAATTCAAAAGGATGCTAAGGGAACTTAAAAAAAAAAGTAATGTATGGATTCAAATAAGGTTAATATTTTTGCACTGCACTTTTGTCTTAACTTCATACTCAGTTCAGTTAGACTGATTGTGCCATACTTGAACCTCAAGCAAGACTTTTACATTTTAACATTATTCTGATGGATTGCTATAATATGGTTGAATAATAACAAATATATTGAAACAGACACTTAATATTGTAATACAAATGACACTTTTTATACACATTATAAAAACAAATGATCAATTGAAATTATATAGCGGCATAAAAAGGCAGGACAGTCTAAATGAATGTGTACTTTGTCCCTTTGATCGACACGGGTCAACATGTGACATGTGTCGACAAATTCTCCGAAGATTGATACTGAGAGTACATCAAAACATACTGAATGTTGTTTAATGCTGTCTCCATTCTCAGACTGGTGCACGGATCCCCAGCGCAGTGCAAAGGTTCAGCCTGATAGCTCTCCGTCTCCCCCCTCTCCGATGACCACCCGATCGGGCATGACCCTGAAGAGGCTGCAGGGAGGGGCCAGGATACGCCACCGCGCCCCTGCTATACCCGGTATGCATCCATATATGTCCTTTCAGTTGGCATTTCTTGGTCAAATAAGTTTATCTCGTAAGGCTAAAAAAGTACCATATCATTCATTTGTTTGCTTTTATAGATGTTTCGTTGGCTTATCTGTTATAGAAATTCTATTTCTGTGTTATACTGATGATACTCATTGCAAGCTCAGTCCTTGTTATCTTGGCCTACATATAATACTCCCTACAATGGAAGCATAGTCAGACTGGACTGTACTAGACCAGAATGGACAACGCAATCACAGTGTCTTGAGGGTTCATAACTCTGGATTCTGTTCTGAGGTAAATAAACATCCTCCTGTGTTGGAACTCCAGCGTCAAGCCTCTTCTCGGCGCCTGATTGGCACTCACGTCACAACAGCAAGTTTAACTCCTGGGCCGTTCTGTGTAGAGTTTGCATGTTCTTCCTGTGCCTGGGTGTGTTTCCTCTAGGAGTTCAGCTAACAATCTGGGGATGAGTCCCCAGGTGTGGCACTGAGTTGCTCTAGTGGGCAAAATCCTCTGTATTTGACCCAGTTGTCAAATAGGAGACATTTCCCTATGAGGACAATAAAGTATACCTTACCTTCTCTTATTATTTCTGTCTTTCTTTACATGTTGATGGCTGTAGTGAAGCAGGAGTACCACCTGGAGGAGGAGAAATTCTACACAGAGGATGAGTTTGTGGAGGAGGCTGAGGAAGAGGAAGAGGACTCTTCAGTGGAGAAAGGATCAAAGAAGAGCCGAGGGCGAGGGAGTGGAGAACCACGGATGAAGATGAGACGCATATTCAGGATCACACATGGACGAGAGAGGCAGAGAGGTCAGGCATTTAATAAGGAAGATGTTTTTTTGTTACCATATATAAAGCTGATTATACAAGTCATTACATCACTAGCTGAATATGGAGGATTAGGAAAAGATGCAAAAACAGAACAAAACACAACTTGAGATATGATTTTCATGAGGGAACAGCATTATGACTTTTAGAAAGCTTAAAGTTGAGTTGGCATAACAGACGCAGGCATGAAGACATACATTCAAGCTTATTTTGTGTTATTTTATCATAATTCAGCCTTGTTTCAAATAACTTTCAATATGTTTATTAGTACACAAGTAGCAAAACAAGTTTAAGTATTAGTTAACTTAGTTTAATTCACTTTTTATGGATATGTATTTACTAATATACATACCTACCTACTCATGCCTTTTCTGCTCTGGTCCCCGTCTCTCCTCAGTGAAGGACCCAGATGGTGTGTTGATCCGATATAAGAAGATCTTGACCACGTATCAGAGGGTGAGGAGCATGTCCAGAGCTTTTCAGATTCATGGAGTGGACAGGAACACTATGGCCTCCACCTCCCCCATTGCTGAGCTGCTGCTGGTCGCTCCAGAGAAGGTACCAAGAACTCTATCTGTCACCTGTCAAACATATCTCTGATTCATTCAGGGTGTGTTAACATTGTACTTGTCCTGAATTAGACTGGTTTAAACCCAGTTTAGTTCTGATGTGGTCCTGGTATATATATATATATATATATATATATATATATATATGCAAGATTTTTGTGATAATAAACACGTGTGGAGCGGTATTAATTCCTCTACACTCTACGTCTTGGGCAGGTGGCAGAGGTGGGAGAGTTTGAGGCATCAAAGGAAAAGCTGCTGGATTACGCTCGACGCTGTTACAAAACAATGGATGAAGACACTCACTCCAAAGTCCAGACTATGAAGAAGACTCACAAGCTGCTGCCCATCTCCTACAGGTTCAGACACTGATCGCTGCAGAGAGGAGATACATAGTCCTAAATGTATTATGTTTACTGAATGTTGCTTTATTCATGTATTTTCTTTATGCCAATGGTTGATATAATAAGCACAGTTTAAAGAATATCTGATTTTGACTGAAATGTATATGGTCAAGATAAGTAATAGTTATTTACTTACATCTTTATGTATTTAAGCACAAACTTGGGGGGGAAAGAGAAAATATATTTTGTAAATTAATGTTATATAACCATAACATTAATTTACAAAATATATTTCCTCTTTCTCCCCAGGTTTGTGCTTCAAGTTATGTTTTGTTAACTTATTAACACGAGATACTTTTGATTTGTTTTGAAAATTAAAAACTGCAGCAAAAGAAATGATTTGCAAATACTTGGGTTGTATTGAATGGACCTCAGCGCCCCCCAGAGGAACTACTAAATTGATTGCGCCATCAAAAATCCTTCCATCATTTATAGAACTTAATAAGTGCAATTTTCTTGCATTTTACTATTTTTTTGGCAATGGATTTGTTTCATATGAATGTAGGCTAAATTTGACAATCACTTAGCATCAATGCACTTACATCTTCAATGCTATTTTAAGTAAGACAAGACAAATTGTAGCAACAGCCGCAAGTAATAACAGGTCAGACAGCAACAGTATAATGCAGTAATGACAATAATTCAATTTGGAGATAATTTAACAATTGACAATAAACGTTGACAATTGAACGGTACTTCATTTCCCAGATCAACTTGCTGCACGCCCTTTAACCCTCCCTCTGAACCAATCAGAATTAAGAGTTTAGCGGGAAGTAGTAAAACTCGTAAGTTTTAACAGACAGTAGGGCTTGACCAATAGAAAAGCGGGAGAGGCCCTCTCTGTCCAATCAGAAGAGAGGAGGGCGGGGCTCCTGTCCAACGGGGCATCGGAGGAGGAGGTGTTCCTGGTAGCCATCTTGGATGGCGGACTGATTGTTTAGCGAGAAGAATTGACATTTTATTAAATCTAAGCTTTTATATTCACTCTCTGAAGATTTATTGCAGCCAGACCAGTAAAGAAACTGATCGGGGAAATTCAGGTAAACTACTAGTGGACATAAATGTTCCTTTATGTTTGCATGCACTGCTCTCCCTCTGCCTCTCTCTCTTTTCCAAATTGTCTCTTCCACATCAAACAGCGCAGCCGGTGGGATCTGCAGCGCCTCTCCAAACTTCACTGCTCTCTGACTCACTTAAAGCCTTCAAACTCGACATTTACAAATATTATTAGAGAAGTTAGTTTGAAAGCAAGCGCGCAGAATGCTGGTGACCACGGACTGCTGCCACGAAAGATGCCCGCATTGTTTATAAACATCCCGGGCTGTCCAGTCCGTGACACTCGGTCCTGTGGGGTCTCCCGGTGCAAGGCTCTGACCCGCTTTTACAAAAGAGACAAGAAAGTTGAAATAAATCCAGATTGATGCTCTTGTTTACATATCCCCTTACTATTGCACTGTTGCACTTGTCTCTGGGTTGTAATATTATCTAATAAAAACGGGATAGTTCTTGCATCATCTTACATGCTGATGCAGTCTAATTATCAGATTGTGTGGACAGTTTTAAATATAGAACAAGCATACGTAAGTCTGTGTGGTGAAGATGTTGCAAAGATCTCTGCAAATAAATAGATTTAAATAGATTTTTTTGCATGCCCTGTAGTGAATCTTGTCCATGAGATGAAGAGGCCTTCCTTAAAATAGTGCAGGATACTCTGATGTCACTCTGCTATACAAATGATTTCCAGTTTGAACATGCATTTTACAGAACATTGCACATGCAAATATTACACCTAAACAATTTCATAATATGTACGTAAGGTCAAGGTATTAGGTGGTATTAAAGTGCTACTTAATACCAAGGTGCTGCCCAGTTAGTTTTGAAAGATAAACATTTGGCCATAAAAATGTAATTATGTCAACAGGACAACAGATTAGAGTGACAGAATTTACAGAATTGTGTTTTCTTTTTGCTATGGTACCTAAAGACTGAGGGATTATACAGAGATTTAATGTGAATGTGTTTTAAAATTTGCATTATGAACTCAGTCAGCAATACATCTAAAAGTGAAATCTTACTGCATTTGAATTAGTCAAAATTGAAATACTGTGTGCACCTCCATTTGCATGGCCATATGTACATCTGTTGATTGTGCTCTGATGTCGTGTGGATGTGTGCAGGTTGTTTTCCGGCCCGACCTGCTCCTGTTTGTGAGGGACAGCCTCATGTTACAGCTGCAGGCGCCTCCGCTGGCTGTGTCATAAACTCCTATTGTTATTTATGTGGAAGGCTCTGTCATAGTTTCTGGATATTATAATGATATCTATGAGTTAGTATTTGCTTGAGTTACAGCACTTTGGATCAATTAGGTCAAGTTCAAGTGTGGCTGTGTGCAATGCATTCTAAAGAATTCATAACACATGCCTTTTTCAAGCTGAAGGTTAAAAACTAAATGCATTTTTTTTTTCTCTACAAGACACATAATTTCTGATCCATAACTTGGCCTGTATGCTTGTCCCCAAGGAGATGCTTTTAATGTCATACTGAGGAATAGTCCAGGTAAAGATATAACATCTCTATAGCTAAAAGTAGGTGGCTACTAGAAAAGTTACACAGTGAGCCTTTAAGTTCAGTGAACATGCCAGGTGTAAAGTTCAAACTAATTTTGCAGTGTTCTGGATTATGTTTAGGTAGTACAGTATTTTAAAGCAAATCTCCTGAAGCTCTATAATTTGTCTACTCTTATGCAACAGTATTTTTCCACACGTGGAAAAAAATCTGAAAGATCTGAAGCCATTCAAATGCACAGAAATACTTTCTACTAGAACTTTTATATTTGTATAATTTAGTAAACTGAATGGTCAAAAACGTATAGTGACTTTTTAATAGAATTATTCAAATCACACTTACATAGGGGACTTTTACTTTTTTCATTTTTCATACTTTCATTGACCACCATTTCTACTGTATTTCTATGCCCAAAGCCTTTTTACTGCACTCTTTTTGATTAATGTAAACAAAAACAAAACAAAAGCAAAAACAAAAAACACTGTAAGGATGCTGACAGTGCATATGGATGTTTTTTTCCTAAGAGGTGACAGGGGATATGTATCACATACAGGCACTGCTTTTGTTTACATGTTGAAACAAGTCTTTTCCCAGCATGCATAACAGCAAGTTCATTAGGAATTAACACAAAGTTTAAACTCTGTGTGTGTGTGGCCTCACTCACAGTAAAAATACATGTTTTTGATCAACAAAGACACCTGTAAATGAGTAAGTTTCATGCCATATTGTCAAACATCACAGTCAAAACAATGTTTCCATAAAGACAAAAGTTACATAGTGTTCTTTAATATATCTACGCACCAATAACAACCACCTCTTTTTTCTTTCTCTTGTGTTTCAGTGAAAGAGGCATGAAGACATCATCCTAGTCGTCAGTCATGGCCGATAAAAGGAAACTCCAAGGTGAGGGCGGCTCTGACTTTATTCAAATGAGCCATCATTTGTTGTGGTTCGATCATGTGTCTCTGGGCGAGGTTCACCACAAATTCAAACATGCTCTGTATCTTATATCAAAGTAGGCGCAGTTGTCTGGTCAAAAATATGCATCTAGATCAATGGTCCTCTTCAAACTTTTCACAACAACCACCTAGGAGAATATCTTGCTTTCAGAATCTAAACCCAGACAATGCAGAGCCTAAATATGGTCTATAATGTTTATGTTATAGGGCTGACCCATTTGGGAAAAATATGAAATTGAGATTTTTCGGACATGCATTACAATTGCGATTAGATCCTGAAGTTCACATTTTAAACACAATAAAGAAACTTGACAAAGACACTAAAATCTGAAGTGACAAACTGTACCAAATGGCAAAATTACAGGGTGGGCAGCTTTAATGCAGAGGATTTTTATAATATGATACAGATTAGAGAGTATTCTAGTATATATGGTGCAGAAGGACAGGGAACATATGGTACAGAGGATGGACAGTGAATTTATGGGTAGATGGAAACTGAGGTTAGAGCTGCTATGAAACTAAAGACCAAAGAGAGATTTATGGATGCAGTGATAGAGGACGTGCTCAAGGTGGCAGCTGTAGTATTTGCAGTTTTAACTGTAGTAGCAGCAGTAGTACTAGAAGCAGTACTTGCAGCAGCAGTAGTAATAGTAACATTAGCATTAGTAGTTGCAGTAGCAGTAGTAGTAGCAGTAGTAGTAGTAGCAGTCTCACTCTAACTGCCAAAACAGAGATGCTCCAGTAGCCTGTTGTTGTTGTTATGAAAGCTGTCGTCCTGCCAGGTTAAGTCTTGCATAATGCTCCAGATCACATTGTGATTTTCTCTGCTGTTTTTCTGTTTGTAAAATGCTGTTTTGTGCACAATGTCACCAGTGGATTTGCTCTGAAACGGTCCACTGTCATTAGAATCAGCTTTTATGTCCACATCTGTATGTAAGAGTCCACTGTTTGATTTAACTACTGTTTTAAAGGCACGCTATGGAACTTTTGTGGTCTAGGGCTTGTCATAAAGATGTTATTGCTTTGTATGTAATGTTCCACAGTATAGCATTAAATTTAAGTATCTAGTAGTAATATAACAATAACTGAAATATCGTGATATCGTATCTTCAAAAGTCTCACCATCACAATATATTGTAGTTTAATTGCTTAAATCCATTGTTATGGCACAGCAATAGCTAAAAAACAGAAGGAACTACATAGACCATGATCCTTTGCACTTTTTCAGTCAAACTACAAAATACTGAAATAATGGTTATTAAGCACTTTTAAATCTTAATTATTTGGATTATGAGGAGACAAAAGTAGCATATTCACAATTTTATTAGCCTACATAAAATACATAAAATATCGCAATAAATATCGTACTGTGAGATGCATATCTTGAAAATATCGTACTGAGAGAGTTGGATATTGTTACATCCATAGTATCTAACATTTATATTCAATTACAGATAGTTTTATTGTAACAGTATGCATTCTTACTAAGACTGTGGTTGCCTTTCTGCAGTTTAGGGATGCACCGATACAGCTTTTTCTATTCTAATACCGAAGTAAGTAAGTAAGAATAGTTATGAAAAAAAAATATATAAGTTCAGTATAATTTTTGGCACATTGGCCTGTAAATCTTATTAATTA